TGTTCAAAAACGCTTCATGATATCCCACCAATAAGTGACCTTACAATATCTGAGGAAGGAATCTTGTCTCTGCTTTTTAACATAGATCCCAAAAAGACACCTGGTATTGATAGTATACCTAACGCGTTTCTTGTGAGGTATGCTGAATGGTGCTCGAAGTTTTTGTGAATCATTTTTCAGAAGTCACTGTCACAGCGCGCGCTTCCAGATGACTGGAAATTCGGGAAAATTATCCCTATACCCAAATCACCTAACACTTCTCTCGTCTTCGCCTATAGACTGATTTCCCTTCTTTGCTCATGTGCGAAGGTATTAGAACATATTGTATTCAAGCATCTCTCAGTTTTTGTCGAGGAAAATATTTTAATCAATGATTGACAACACGGCTTTCGAAAAGGATTCTCAACCGTCACACAACTGTTGGAAACCGTTCATGACATTGCAGCTATTCTAGATAGGCAAGGCCAGGTTGACATGATTTTCCTAGACTTCGAAAAAGCATTTGATCGCGTGTCGCATCCAAAACTTCTCGCGAAACTTAAAACTATACTAAAAAACAGTACATTAACTTCATGGATTGAGGCCTACCTTTCTTTTCGAAATCAAATAGTTTCTATAGATAACGTCCAGTCTGATTCACGACCGGTGAAATCGGGAATCCCTCAGGGCTCTGTGCTTGGGCCAGTTCTTTTTTAAATTTTTATAGACGACATTGCCAATGATATCCCGGTTTCTATTAAGTTATTTGCAGATGATTGCATTCTTTATCAGGAAATACGTAGTGCAGACGACCAGGTTGTTTTAAACGCAGCGTTAAGAAAAATATCTTCTTGGTGTGCAGTGTGGCAAATGAAGATTATTGAAAAGAAAACGGTAGCTATGACCGTTACGCGCAAGCTGCTTCCTTTGAAACACTCATATTCCATTATTGTCAAAAATATCGTTTGTGGAAACTTATAAATACTTGGGGGTTGTATTAAGTGCATATTTTAGGTGGAATGAGCATGTTGCCTACATTGAAAAGAAAGCTTTACAGAAACTAGCATTTCTAAGACGTTCTTTGCGCAAATCTACCCCAATGAATGGATGGATGAAAAACTTTTATTGGGGTCCTGAAGGATTCCACCCCCGTTTTATAGGGGTAGGATCGCGGGCCGCTCTCACGTTGGGACGGGGAAGCCCAGCCTCACCACCGCATCGTGAGCCTTCTGGACAGCCTTGAGTTGTTGTATGAGAACCGGACTCGTGAGCATTAAATGAAAGGAGTTCTCAGAAAATTCTTCATTTTTTGCTTTGTAAGGAGGCGCACCTCCAGGGCATGTGGTTAAAATCACTGCGATTCTGGCAGTCTGGACAAAGTTCTGAAATATCGGAGTAATGGCTATAGGTTACGAGGCTAGGGTATGTTCCCGTCTGAAGCATGCGAAGAGAGATTGCCTGTGGCCTAGACAACTTTTCGTGTGGCAATGGAAATGACCTACGGCCTAATTGATAATGCTTCGTGATCTCGTTGAAGGTAGTCAAAATGTCCCTAAAATGAAGGCTGCTGGCTGACTCCTCTGTCTGAGAAGCACAAGTCCCGGCGCGGTAAGTGAAGCCTCGCGCCTTGGAGTGGGCTAGCTCGTTGACATTGGGAAGGCCCCCGACCCTCAAGCCAAGGTGAGCAGGGAACCAAATAATTGTGTGGTGGGTGAGTTCCTTGTGAGCGAGAATTCTCAAAGCTTCCTTGCACACGGAACCAGAAGCGAATGCCCTAGCAGCGGATTTAGAGTCCGTATAAATATCAGCCCTTTGTGGATCAAGGAGTGCTAGTGCAATGGCCATCTGTTCTGCTTTGTAAGAAGAAGGGGTTCGAACCGACGCCGAGGATAAAATCTGATCCTTAGTATCTAAGGATACCACCTCAAAGCGAGCGGAAACGCCATACTGGGCGGCATCAACAAAGCATGAAACAGACGATTGTTTGTGAGCTTGAGCTAAACGAAAGGAGGCTCGAGCGACACGCCTGCCCGCGTTGTACTGTGGATGCATATTTAGTGGAAGGGGGCATACTTTGATGCGAGAGCGTATATAATCATCGAGTGGCGTATTTTCGAGCGTCAGGGGGTTGACTCCAGTGTCAATCAGAATCTTTTTCCCCGCTGGTGTGATCGAAAGCCTGACAACCTGTGCCGTTTGTTGAGCCTCGATAACTTCTTCAAGCGTGTTGTGGACTCCAAGTTTCAAAAGGTTCTCAGTGCTTGTGCGCATAGGAATGCCAAGAACTTTCTTGATGCTTTTCCTTATGAGGATGTTCAATTTAGTTCTTTCGTGGAGTTTCCACCTGTGCATAGATGCCCCAAAATTAAAATTAATTGCGTATAAAACCTTTATCCGTCCGATCCTCGAGTATTCATCTGTGGTTTGGGACCCTCATAGCCAAGTAAATATTAAAATACTTGAAATGATTCAAAGAAAAGCAATCCGATTTGTACATAATCGCTACAGCACTCCGACGTCACCCAGTGAACTGGTAAAAAAAGCTGACTTGGATACCTTGCAGGCAAGACGGCAACACGATCGATTTAAGTACATGTTTCTACTTTACCACGACAAGCTACGCATGGACAAGCACGCGTACATAAAAACAGTTCACCGACGATCAACTCGTTCCGAGCATCCAAAAAAAAAAAACTGAAGGAGTATTGCTGTCAAACAAAAGCCTTTTTTCCGTGCACTGTCACTAATTGGAATGTTCTTTCTGGCGATCTGGTGAACTGCGAAACCATTCAGTTGTTCATGGAAACACTTAAACACCAGCAACATACTTGACTTTGATCTTTCTTTGCGCTTCGCCCTCCATTTTTCCACTGCGCATCCTGAACAGGCTTCCATTTATGTTAAACTTTTATCACTTTTTTCATATCAATGCGTTGTATTTTTGAAATGTTGCCGATGTTTGAACCGTTATATGATATTTGTTTTTTAGTTCTGTATAAGCAGCTGTTAGTCATAATAGTTTTTTTTTGTACTTGTACGCGTAAACCACTACAATTGTGAAAGTACTGGCGTTTTACTTTGATGCACTAGTTCTTAATGGTGTAGCTTTACGTGACGTGTTTCCTTTCCTGTTGTATCTTCATATTTGTTTCCTTTTTTGTATCACTCACCCCTGTCTAAGGCCTCATGTGAGAGGCTGGCAGCACTTCTGAAATAAATAAAATAATAAAGGTGGTATTTGGATCCGATGCGCTTCTTGCTACAGGGTTCCACCACGTGCTGGCACAGAGCTCAAGCCTGCTAACAAAACACAGTGAACCACTCTCGCACACCAAAAATACCAACAGCAGAGGGCGTTCAGGTTTCAAGACGTGCGCTGACGTCACTTGTTCCCCGTGCTCTCTCTTCTTGCTTAAATTCCAGCGCCTTCATCGGAACGATAGACGAGAGATAAAATAACGGAGCGCAAGAGACCTTGGTAGCACCCATTGTTCTTGATTCATTTCAATGCGAAAGCTGTATATGGCTAAAAGAAACGAAAAGCCGTTCGGCATCGGTATCACGAGTGGTCTCCATTGGCTGTGCTCTCAGCATCGAATCCAAGTAAGCGCACCGTTAGCTGAGCTGTGAGTGACGTCGTCCACCCTGTCGTAACCTGGGCGTCGAGCAGGCGCACACCAATTTTTACAGAAAGCTTTAACATGGGTAAGCCACGGACAACTTCGGAAAAGTGCCGACAATGGAAACGTGAGAGAGCTCGCATTCGCCGGGCTGATGGTGCAGTCCGAGCACAAAAACAGGCCTGATAGGCCGAGCGCCAGCAGGAACTGCGTACCGGTGATCTGGCAGCGTTTCGAGCCATGCTAAATCGCGAGCGGGAATGCAAGCACCGGTTGCAGGCTGATCCTGCCAATCCCGCCGCCGAGTTAACTCGCGATGTAAAGTGCTCGACTTTTCACCGGGTCGAATAAGAGCCGTTGCGGGTACGACAGCGTCAACGTGACGATCGCGGGAGCGTGTTCACCGGGCCGAACGAACGCTTTCAGTGGAAGTTTATATAGCTACACATTGGCTTCGGTTGCGATTTTATTTACCACTTGTGGTTCGAGAAGAACCACTGTGATTAACGCATTGCGAAGCGCATTGAACCGCTCATTACACTCCTCCATGACCCTGATCTTGCGAGGCACAATTCGCGGCATGTGAAATAAACACTGTTGTAAACCAAGCCAACCGTGCGTCTAACCTCATTAAAGAGCACGGGCATGCTACCCGTAACTGTGGAAGGCTTCAATGCGGCGTCTGGTTAAATGAACCGCTGCTAAACTCTGGGGATGCACGCTTAAGCTTTGGCTGGTTGACCACTTGCATGGAATGCTCAGGCGGTAATTTTTTGAGAATTTTTGGGGAAATCATTCCCTTAGGCAATAAACACCGATACCAAGGTAATTCGATGGCGACATAAACAATCGGATCATTACCTCCTTAAAAAGAGAACACTGGGGGCATCTTGCTGTCTAGCTGACAATAATAAGAGGTTTAAAGGGCCTTACAGTGTTTGCAGAAGAGTTTATTTTATGTATGAAAGAACAGGATCAGACTGAAGGGACGTGGAACTCTAATAAAATATTTATTTATATACCTTAATATTCTCATTAGGGCTATGCACTCATCGTTGGAAATGACCAGTCGCAATATATGTGAGCAAGTGATTGTAAGTGCGCTACAAGTTTTAACCTTACGAATGGTACGAAACGTTCAGGTTTTGTATTTTTCTTCGCACACGAACTTTTTCTACTTAAAGCTAAACGAAGAAATAAGAAAATAAAAAAAGACGTGCGTGCCATTTGGGCCTTTGATCAGTCGTATGCTAAGCCTAGTGAGATTAGAATAGGGTTTAACTGCTAAAACTCTGAAGCACGGTAAATGCATTTTAGAAAAAAAAAACTTGTAAATTTTGATAAAACAGTGATAATACTCAGCCTTCTGAGTTGTTTACATCTGGTATTTTAAATTTTCAGTGTTTTATATAAACGAATGAACTACTGAATTTTCAGCAGAGATTTAGTTTGAAAACGAAGCAATATGAGATCCCCAACGCCTTCAACAAGATTTTTTGCTCACCTGCTACTTGGTAAGAACATCACGTAGTGAATTATCACGATTACTTTTCATTATAGCTTTTATGCCTAATGGTACGACTTTCGATAACTTTCAAACTAGCACTAAATATTGGTAAACTGATTAATTATTATGAATCAGTGTAATGTGTTCACTTACAGTAAAACGCAGAAGAGTAATATCGACATGTGAAGCAACAGATATGTGTTGTCTTCAGGTATGTAGCTTAAATTAAGAAGAAGAATAAAAAAGTCAATCAGTTTCAAGGCGTTCGCTGCAACTCTGCTTATTTCTCATCATGGATTTGTGGCATAGCTTCTGCTTTATCGACGGTTTGCTGCAAAATACACTGATGGTGGGTGCACTGGACATATAAATAAGTACGAAAAGTCGTTGAAACTACGTGATGGGGTTTTAAACTCTAAGATTCAGTACTTTATTTGAAGCCAGCATCCCCTACATCGCCGCAATGTCAGTCAGGCAGAGACGAAAAAAAAAAACACTAATACTTACTTTGTTCTTTTATTTCTCAAAAACAAACAAAACTATCATACATCGAAGGCGAAAAAAGTCACAGCATATCCACGGAGTGAATGATGAGTGGGGCGAAGCGTCGATCAGCTCGTCCGGGCATTCTTCCGCCTGCTCGTTGTTGTTTCTGTCCGTCCATCTGTCAGTACGTCCGTCCGTGCGTCTATCCATCTGTCTGTGCGTTCGTCCATTCATCTGCCTGCCCATCCGTATGTCCACCTGTCTGTCTGTCTGTCTGTCTGTCTGTCTGTCTGTCTGTCTGTCTGTACATCCGTATGTCCACCTGTTCATCTGTCTGTCTGTCTGTCTGTCTGTCTGTCTGTCTGTCTGTCTGTCTGTCTGTCTGTCTGTCTGTCTGTCTGTCTGTCTGTCTGTCCGTCCGTCCGTCCGTCCGTCCGTCCGTCCGTCCGTCCGTCCGTCCACCATCTGCCTCTCTGTCTGTCTGTTTACCTGTCTGTTGGTCCTTCCATCCATCTTGTGAACACTATAAGTGTCACAATGTCGAGTCTTATAATCATATATTCATCATATACAAATACTACCATCCAGCGGACATTCCGAGGACTAAACAAGAGGTGGCTACCTACTACTACTACTACTACTACTACTACTACTACTACTACATACATAGGGGACACACGACCCACGCCTTAGCGAGCTTCTGCTGAGGATGAACATTAAAGTTTTGCATCCATCCATTCATCCACCGATAACTGCGATATTACCTAAGGTAAATTCTGACTGCAGCTCTGTCTTAGGGCATGGCTAATTGTTTTGGCTGACCACAAGGTATCCACTACGCCATCAATCGTGATTTTTGTAACGCACGAAATCACATAATACTCTATTATTCGTCTTTCTGCGCATAATCGGGGTCGCCGCTAGATATTTGCAAGGTATTATGAACACTTTGTTGGTGCTGCATATTGCTGATGACGATGGTGATTTCAGACTGAGCCCTTTGTAGGTGGTCGAAAGCGTTAAACAATACACTTATTGCGCGATTAGCTGTGTGTGATGACTGGTTGTCATTTTGCCCTTCCGCCGTGCTATACTACATTGTTTAACGTGATTCCTTGTCTGATTTAACGCCTTCATAGTGTATTTTAAATGCGAAGCATTTCTTTTCGTACTGCAGGCACTTTATCTATCTATCTATCTATCTATCTATCTATCTATCTATCTATCTATCTATCTATCTATCTATCTATCTATCTATCTATCTATCTATCATCTATCTATCTATCTATCTATCTATCTATCTATCTATCTATCTATCTATCTATCTATCTATCTATCTATCTATCTATCTATCTATCTATCTATCTATCTATCTATCTATCTATCTATCTATCTATCTATCTATCTATCTATCTATCTATCTATCTATCTATCTATCTATCTATCTAATCTATCTATCTATCTATCTATCTATCTATCTATCTATCTATCTATCTATCTATCTATCTATCTATCTATCTATCTATCTATCTATCTATCTATCTATCTATCTATCTATCTATCTATCTATCTATCTATCTATCTATCTATCTATCTATCTATCTATCTATCTATCTATCTATCTATCAAGCCACCTACGTAAGGGTGCTCGCGTGATGACCACCTTAACCTGGGGTACAGAAAAAAAAGTATCGTAGATTAAGATGGTTTGATGACAATGACTCGCTGGTCACGTCATAAGTAATGTCACAATTTCGTCGTGTACGTTGTCAAACCCTTTCCACCAGCCGTGTAGTCCATACCGGCGGGCGGGTATGTGCCACAGGTACACGTGCAAAAGAAAGTGTAAATTCAAGGGCTTCTTTTTTTGTTAGACGCAATATAAACGATAACTAACAGGTAATAATGTCAGTCCATACCGGCGGGCGGGTATGTGCCACAGGTACACGTGCAAAAGAAAGTGTAAATTCAAGGGCTTCTTTTTTTGTTAGGCGCAATATAAACGATAACTAACAGGTAATAATGTCAGGGAAAGTATAGAGAATGCTACTGGAAATAATTGCATTGTTAACGTTAAGAAAAAAAGTGGACGAAAAGATAACCTGTCAACGGCCGGATCCTAGCCTGCGACCTTCGGATAACGTGTCCGATGCTTTACCTCTGAGCTACATTAGCGGTGTTCCTTCCTTTCACTTCCTAGGGTATATATGTGTAATTAAACGTGTGATATGTTTGTTTAAACAGCCACAGGTGATTGGCAGTTTATATCGACGCAGAAAGAGCTAGAACAAACATGGGTAATTTTAACGAGTGCGCGTTAGGAAAAATCTGACATCGACAGCGTTTACCGGACGAATGCAGAGAATAAATTTGAGGGTCCCAATAGGAGTTCAATCCCAGCATTCTGTGTGTCAATACATATTCTACCACATAGTTGCGCTAGGTGTCGGGACTATATACTTTTCTTATGTACTCTAATGCTCGTGAAACGTCGATTGGGGTTGCAGTGATGGCTATCCAATTTTATAAACAATGCGTATGTACAGCTGTCACGTCAGGTTAGTGTCAATTGTAGTTACACGCCATCCGTTGAAGTTGACTTATGTAGCAGTGCCCTGGGCTACTATCTCAGCAAGCACTAGCGCTTCATATCAGCTTACCGCTTCTGTTCTTGCTAATATCCATATTGCCGTTGGCATCATTACGCAACTGTAAAAAAAGGCTATCTAAAGCATATTTGTCTGTTTAACGTATCTTTGTGAATGCGTTTGCGACATAATTTTAGGGCTACTTCGTGACGTTTCACTCAATAAAAATTTACAACACAGTATGGAACCGTTCCATCCACACGCTTCGCATAACACCGATTGCCAAGCTACTTGGTCTGCCAAAATTTTCGCTGTCAGTTTCAAGCGAAATGTGGTTTGTGGTAAGGTACTCGACTGCCTATCAGGGCTACAGTAGCCTCTGAAAAAGATAACTATCAGTGTATTAGGCTGCAAAATGTATAAAGGAACTGTCAATAGAGTAGGGTGAAAAATCCCCCTTGATCGCGTCACTCCATCATATCACGCGTTTATGGGTCCATACTTTCACATACGGGAGAAAAAAAAAAGTTACAGATGCGTGCTATCAGCACGGCTATAGTGTACTTCTTATTGATCAATGATACTGTTTTTTTTAAGAAACTACTGGTTCTTTCCCACAAACTTTCACTTCGGCGGTGCGATCGATGGTGTTCTCTCAATGCACCGGCTTCGCTGCTCTTTCAACTGTACGAAACTCTGGCTTCTAGCGTCCTCGCCATGGCTACCCTGTGCGGGCAGCTCTCTTGGCGATTGTGGCGGTAGACGAAGCACTTGCAGCAGTTGCATTCTTCGTCGTGATGAGAATGCTGCGAGTGGCGTGGCTAGCGTTGACAGTGATATTTTATGTGGTCTGCTTAGCGTGTGACAAGCGCGCATTCAGGGAAAGCTACGTTTCATCAGTAGCTACTTTTCTCTTATTTTTCCTGCTGTCGCTGTTTCTTTTGTCAGGTACATGCATCCTCTGTGGTACTCCGCATTTCTTGTCTTCATTTTACCCGCGCAAAAAGAATGTTCAACCTGTGTGTTTTACCTGTGCAAATATATTCGCCAGCCCCAAGGCCGTCCAAGAGCCCCAGCGGGTGCTTAAAAGATAGGGCGCGAAAATACAGTTTTCTGGTGAAACTTCATTTGGAATTTTCATTGGTAAAAACCATCACATGCCTATGAGACACGAAGATGTGCGTGGTTAACGACGGTTTAACGGAGCTACCTTGGATTCTTCATTTGTTAAGTAATGTCTGTGAGCGGAGCACAATTTCAGTCAGTGAAGTCAGCCAGTGAGGCCTTGCGCTGTGCTGATTAAGGTGCAAAACACTTGGCGGTTTGTTGAGCACCATTTAGTGATAACAGGCCCTTGCGCTTTACAACCAGCGTGGAGATCGAGAGGGCCAACCTACTAATAATCATTAACATATACGGAGTGCTCTTGATGAAGACACTTTGTAAGGTTACGCGAAGTATGAGAACAATTCTATCCTTCATTACACCACCTCCTATAAACATTATTAATTTGTGAATACCATAAAATGCAGGCATTAGTATATTTAATTTGTCATTAAACAATATATTCTTTTAGTTAAGCACAAGATGCACCTAACGAGTTGCAAACGATGACTTGGAACTTCAAATCAACTTGAAGAGGTCTTGAAAATATGGCGTCAGGCTTGAAAAGCACTCTTCGAAACTTTGTGGTTGGATGCAGTGTTTATCCAGTCACTTTTGAGCATGAGATCAATGAGAGGTTGCGCTTGAAATAAATAATGAAATAAATAAATGTAATCGCACATTTTACGCAAGCTTACATCGCATTTTTTTTCGTGATTACTACATAGGTTCAGTGTGGTCACGTATCCTTGGAAATATTTTCAGCTATATAAAGTATTATTCAGATGTCTCGTCGTTCTTTTTGAAGTAATAAATTGTTAATTTACATTTTGATTTCACATTTTCAATAGTAAGGAACAATTAGGTTTTACATTTTGAATAATAAGGTCGCTGCCATCTGCCACCAGACATTAAAAAGGTGATGTTGAAATAGTAGTCATAATCTGTGATGGTAAAAAATCAGCACCAAAACCCCGAAAGCCTACTTTTAGCTGGCTGTTATCGAGTGAAGCCAGCAGATGATTTCTTCATTCCTAGGCCTTCTTGGATACTCTGCTAGCTGGCTTTATCTGTATCAGTGCTTAAGGTTTCACCATATGGTTACATCAGTGTATTGACTTTATATGAGTTGGCTGTTAAAGTACGCTAAAGTTGATGCACTGAGTAGTCCTTTTTTTCAGTGGCTGTACCAGTAGCGAGTAATGTTTCGGACGGAGAAGGAAACACGGAATATTACGAGTATGAGTACACTACTCCAGACCTTGATGGTATGTGCTCCCCTTTTTGAATCTCAAGCGAGAAACGCAATTTCGCCAAATAAGTGCATAAAGATATCCGTAAAGACGCATCCGAATGCAGGTGATGTCACATGAAAATGTAAAGTGAGGGAATACTCAAAGAAACCAAAACATATTTCGGCAATACATTGCGACTCCAAACTTCCTGAATCTATAACTCTCTACAAAAGAAGAGACAGGTGCTCTCTGTCTTGTTATTGTGATGTTTACTATTTTTGGAGACACGAAAGTGTCTCCAGGAGATGGTTTAAGTGCCCTTTTCAGGAAACCTTTCGTGTATAAAGTCAGTACTGAGTCTGTCCCACTGCAGTTCCGGAGCAGAGAGCGTGAGAAATGCGTGAGGCTTACCCAACTGGCAAATCATGACGAAGAGTTCCTTTCGTCGATCTTGCTAG